GCACCACACAGCTTGGTGTCGTCGGCAAACATGCATTTACATAAATTTATGTACATGTGTATAAAACTACATATATGTATGTTAATGTCTATAGTCTGTGCTTAGGCAAAAAACATGATTTAAGAGCTTTTCCCAGGCAGAAGGTGCATTAAAATCTGTCCAGATGAAAAAGATCATTTTTTCCTGGGATAAAGTCATGCTAATAAAAGTCTTATTTTTATATCAAAAGAGGATTTTCATACAAATTAAATGTGATTTAATTTGTAATTAAATTAACAGATCTTGCATAACAACCTAATGTACCTATTTGGCAACAGTCTAACTGGAGGCTTTACTCCAACAAAGAAATTTAATTTCTAGTTTTAGAGATTTTCCAGTTATTCTATTCAAAAGAATAATATGACAGCTGTTGAGGTAAACGGAGTTTCAGAACTTTTTGTTCTCTGCTGTTTTGAACCTCTTCTCTGTCAAGTCATAGTTACGAATAGCAAACTTGAGAGCTTTGGCACAGTTTATCACCGGATTCCAAGAACACGCAGGCACCCAGAGCTGGGCGAGAGACTTCCCTCGGGCTCGGCAGAGAACGTGAAGACCCCCCATGCTGCAGAAGTGTCCTAGTTTGAGAACACTGACAATGGGACATGCAGCTCACAGAGGGGCCTGCAGTTGCAGCAAAAGTCAACTGAATTGGTTCTTGTGACAAAGGGACGCAATGCTGAAAAGTAATGCCAAATACCGTGAAAAGTCAGGTGATGCATGGTTCAAGCTGTGAACATAGGAAGATCAAATATGTTTACTAATGTTACGCCACAGCTCTATAATAAAACTTCTCACTCTAAATTTTGAAAAAGAAAAAAAAAAAAAAGGTGTGAACGCTCATCACAACAACCTGCAGAAGAAAGCTCCTAAGGTTACTAACAGCACTGTATTCAGAGCAGGATTTGAACATTTGGGTTCTGTATGAAAAAATAATAATAAAAGGAGCTCTTTACCTTCCTTGTGCATCAAACGTGACATAACCTAGAGAAGAATGGGGCCAGGGCAGCAAAGATTTATAAAGACGTGACACAATATCATTTTACATACAAGAAAACCAAATTAAGATCTTACCAGGCACATTTATTTCGACATTTCATCACATTTGATTGTGCAATTCTAATGAGTCTGTACCATCCTTCGTATGTGAATGATTTCTCATATTTCCAAAGAATGAATCTAAATCATGCCATCGGACTGACATCAACACAATTTCTCAGTGGTATTAGAATTGTTAGTCATTGCCCACAGAAGCTTGCATTTTCCAGATAAAGACAGGTCGAATTATGAGCCCCTGGATTTTTTAATTTAAGAGCTGACAAAAAAAGAGATCTATTACTAATCACTGGTAGCGAGATTCGCATATTCCTTTAGCTGCTTTCTGTGTCAGCCATGCTACAATGTAACTTCACCCATTGTTGTTTCACCATTAGTTTGTTTCTACAGAAATCTCGCCACTGACTTAGAGGGACACTGAGAACATTTAAGCATCTGTAATTTCCTTGTTCTAGTAAGTATGTTCATCAGACGGACAAAAAGATAGCTTTTCTGGATAACGTTTGTTCTGCTCTTTTATACATGTTTTCAACCATATTATTCTGAATGAGTACACCAATGAGCAATGCCAAGGTGTAATAGTCTT